ACGTGCGGTATCCCAGCTTGCGCAGCGCCTTGACGACGCGGGCCAGGTCGAGCTTGCCAGGGGCGTCGACCACGACGACCTGCGGCCTCGCCCGGGTGATGGCTGACACCAGTTTCTCGACTTCGAAGCCCTTCGGGTCCAGGGACAGCGTGCACATGATCCAGTCCACCCCCGTTGGGTTGCCTGTCGTCAGTTCACCACCTAGCTGCTCCCAGGCGCGCCCGTAAGTCCCCAGTGGGCTCCCGAGCTCAAGACCCCGGCGCCCTTTGAGGGCGAGGTTGCGCGGCACTGCTGCCGGAGTCCTCAGCGCCCGATGGCGGAGCGCTGACTCCGCAATGGGCCCTTCCTCCCCAGGCAATCGCAGGAGGAGTTCCTTTGCCTCGGCCAACATCTTCCCCCACTCCTGGGGCGGCTCGATGCGGGTCCACCCCTTGCGCAGGAGCTCGGAGTGGACCTTCTTGGCCTCCTCCCGCGACAGCCAGTCCGCGATGTCGTTGTGGTAGGTGCGGATGTACAGCGCGGTCGTGCTGAACCCGTGGCAAGCCTCTAGGCGCTGAGTGAGGCGAATGAGATGCCGCGCGAGCGGGTGCTTGGGCCGCCTCTTGGAAATCCACGACCGTACATTCATGTTATCGGTAACGTAGAAGACCAGCTCGCCCTGCCACTCCTCCTCTTGCGGCGGCCAGGGCCACGAACGCAAGCAGCTCCAAGATGGCTATAGCCCAGTCCTTCTCGGCCCCCGGGTGGCTCAGCACGTCCTCCAGCTGGCGGAGGAGCGGGGCGGCGTCCACGGCCATGTAGCGGGGTGGCACCGCTTTGCTGCCGGCCACCGCGCGCCCCCAGTCGATGCTGCCAATGGTCGTCGTGGTGGCGTCGCCTCCAGTCCATCTTGTCCGGGCGGCGGCTCCTGGGAGTGCCAGGCGCTCGCGCGGCCCTAGACAGGAAATGAAGCTCGCTTCGAAGGTGGACGCCCAGGCCTCGGGCGCGTCGACGAGCACCCGCAGCAGCTCGAGGGTCTGGTCCCACTCGTCCCAGGCAAGGGCGATCTCCTCGGCGCTCCCTCGGGGCTCTACCCATGCCGCCCCGAGCCCGCCGCCGAGGAGGCGATCGATGACTGGCAGCTCGGGCTTGATAGCCGGCTGAGTGGCCACCCAGAACTGGGCGGAGCCCCTCAGCTCCTGGACGACCTTGATGGGGGCCCGACGGCACCCGTAGCGGAGCTCGTCGATTGCCAGGAGGTGGGCGGCTTTCACGCACTTGGGCTCTGGAAGCCTCGAGCGCTGCTTGTCCACGTCCAGGTGCAGGCCCCAGACCAGCTGTTCTGCCTGGAAGGTGCCCTCCTCCGCCATCTTGTCAACGTTGATTGCGTCGCCAACCCAGACGCGCCTCATGCTCGTGTCGCAGTCGGCTGCGCTGAGCCAGGGCCTGAGACCGACCAGCGGCTCGACCAAGACGCCGTCGTCCATCAGCCACTTGGATGACCAGCGCACTGTGTCGTTGACTTCGGGGTTCGGCGGGCGGCGCCGCTCGTGGTCCCACTTGGCACTCCAGGCGAACGCCATGTACTCGCCAGGTGACCCCGACCACCCGAAGACCATCACGCAGTGGATCATGATCACGCGTGTGGCCAGGCCCACGGCGTCGCCCGGGAGGGAGGTGCCGAACTCGGCCACATCCTCGTCGCGCACCCAGTGGCACTTGAAGGCCCGCGAAACGTCCCTCTTGGCTATCACCTGCGGCACACCTGGGTGGCGCGCGGACCACCAGAGAGACAGGCGCACGAGGGCTTCGTGCTTAGGCTGAAGCGCCGGCGGATGCAGCTTCTTGGGCGAGTCCCCATTGGCGACCCGCATATCGCGCATGGGCGCCCCATCGCTGCTCACCGTGCGGTCGGGCAGCATCCTAGGCACTCGCCCTGACGGGCTCTCGATGAGCTCCGAGGCGGACAAGGCCTCCTCGGCCTCCGGGGTGGCCTAGAGCACGGCGCCGTAGGATGTATCCTTCCAAGCTTTAGCGTGCATCTCCAGGGCGTGTTCCCTCGCTGAAGCGTGGGGCTTGGCTATGGTGCGTCGCCTGGGCCGCTGCCTCCGTACAGGGACACCCTTGCTCGCCATCTCCTGGAGGTACTGCCGGTGGTCCTCCTCCAGGGCTGCGCCGAACTCGGGATCGAGCACCCCTCCGAAAGGATTCCCGAGGACGCTCTCCCGCTCCTCGCGGAGCCGCGCCGCGGCGGCCTCCACGCTCCCCGCGGCGAGGAGCAGGCGGTTCCCCAGGCTCGTCACCTCCTTCACCAGCTCCGGGGCGAACTCGGCATGCTCCAGGCACCAGGCCAAGTACTCCTTGGCCTCCAGGGCTCCAGGGTGGGACGCCGCTGGCGGCGCTGCTTGGCGCTCGCTCTGGCGTGCTTCCGCTCTGCTCTCGTGGTGCACGCCCTGGCGGGCATCCGCCGGCGGCATCTCGGGGCCTCCGCATCTGCGCCCGGGGTCCCTTGGGTCGGGGGCGGAGCTGCGCCCGCGGCTCTCGTCCGGAAGCGACCTCGCTCGCAGTCTACCTCGGGCGGCGGGGGCATCGTCTCAGATGCGGACGACTCTGAGCCACCGTGCGCCTCTCCGGAGGACCTCGCTCTCTCGTGGGGGTCCGCCCCCCCGCCACTCCTGCGGCTGCGGCTGCGGGCGCTGGGAACGCCCTGGCCCTCGTACTCCTCTATGTAGGTCTTCTCGGTCTCGACGTAGATGGGGTCCAGGACCCCTCCCCGGCATGCTCGTCTCGCGGTATGCCGAGGCTCTTCATCTTGACCTTCAATGTCTCGTGCTCCTCCACGTAACGCGCCAGGATCTCGCCGAGCTGGCGAGGCTCCAGCGCCAGGGACGGGTCAGTCGGGTCGGCCCCGGGGTATTCTCGCATTAGCACGTCGCTGATCTGCCCGATCCCGTTCAGGTAATTACAAGATGTCCGCGTGCTGGAGGTCGTAGCTCTTGCCACCCCTCCGTACGTCGTTGAAGTTCCTGACGAAGCGCCGAGCGGCGTTGCACTTGTGGACTCCCCCGCGACAGGCTACGCCCGGATGTGCCTCGGCGGCCCTGCGTCCCGTCTCGTCGGAGGTGGCCCCCGGGTCTTCCTCCGCCTCAGGTGGAGGGGGGGCCTCTGGGGGCCCCTGCGGGCTCGGAGGCCCCGGGGGGGCACTGGCGGCCCTCTGGCCCTCGCGCTCCTTCCGGCGCGCCTCGCGCGCGAGCCGGGCAGCGCGGCGGGCCTGGACCTCGTTGCGCCTGATCTCTTGTAACCTTGCTGGCTCGGAAACCAGGAAAATCATTAAAACAGAAAAATGATTTTAAATATTCGGAAAATACGATTTCGTAAATTTTACAAAATAGCAGTAAAACTGAATTTAAAAAGGGCACGCGTGTTTTTTTAAGCCGCGGGTCGTAACGCAATGCCATAGTAAAATGCAGGCCCAAGGGCACGATTGAATTAGCTTCCCAAGACGATTGCACGTCATGTGCGACACCCGAACATGACGGTCATAACATATGCGACACTGCACAGTGGCGCCCAAAGTAGATGTGAGAACTTCGAAAACCTGAGCTGATGAGAATCAGTAACGACACCTGTCGTCGGCCAAGCGATGACCGAAACGAGCTCACGGCGCAACCACACATAGGATCCAACCCATTCGAACATCGAGTGCCTCCCAAAAGCCCATGGTCGCACGAACCAGGCGACATTGTGGGAGCCACTAGGCCCGATCGGGCCACTCGGAGGACCTCTCGGGGCCATCGCTAATCTAGATTGCCACTGGAGTGGCGAGGGGCCCGAAAACGTACCACAGGTTGAAGCCCTGGGGGGGGGTGGGGGGGGGTGCGGATGTTTAGTTGGCCCTGCCGCGCGTCGGGGACTGGGCAGCACGCGTTGGCCGCAATATTACGTCGCCAATCAACTGCCCAAACCATTATCCGCAACGGCGGGAGGGCGCCGCGTGATGGGCGCGGGCGGAATCCCCGACAGGGGTGCGCATATCCAGGGGAAGGAAGCGCCGCGACAGACCGTTGAACCCTTGATGGCCCAGCTGCGCGCAGGAAAATCATCATCATCCCTTCCGCCCCCCCTCTGCACATCCTCCTTTGATTCATCATATGCCCCTTCCTCCCAATCATCGTTATCATCATCATCATCATCATCAGCAGCATCATCATCATCATCTCTCCGTCGCCCTCCTCAACCTCTTCATCCTCTCTCTCTCTCATTCTCTCTCTCTCTCTCTCTCTCTCTCTCTCTCTCTCTCTCTCGTCCTCGGCGGGCGGTGGGCGCCTGTCCTGTTCCCGCGCCGAGGCGGCGGGCGGGCGGGCGAACCCCCTCCCAGGGCGAACGAGGTCAGGGGGGAATAGACGGAGGAGGATGGGGGGGCTTGATGACGAGGAGGATGACATTGAGGGCACGGGCGGCGTGGATAAGGAGGCAGCGAGGATGAGGAGGAAGAAGAACGGCGGAGGAGGGCGGGGATATCTCAGAAAGGTGGGTTCGGAATGGGAAGGGGGGCTGCGCCCAGCGAGGAGGAGGATATGATAGTGACGACGACGACGAAGATGCGGAAGGGGGAAGGCGACGAGGGCGGGGAAGTGCAAGGGGGCGCGGACAGGATGGCGAGGATGGGCGAGGACGGGGGCGGGATGGTGCGGGGGGGGCGAGGAGGCATGTGAAGGGGGGGGGGGGGGGGGGCGAGGCGGGCGGAGGAGGAGACGCAGAGGAAGTGAGGGATAAGGGCGAGGGGGTATGGAGGATGACGATAGGCGGATTGCTGTATGGCCCATGCTCCCGGGCATGGGCCACGTCATCTGGCTATCTGCGCTGGGTGTTGTGTTGTTGTTCCACATCGCTTGCTCGCTGCGGTCCACCTGCAGCGGGGCGCGAGCTCCACCTCGCTGGCAGAAACAGCCCGCCGACCGCGAGCCGAACACTCAGACTCAGACTCCGTATCCTCAGACCCCGTATCTTTGCCGATCCGCCTAGCCGAACACGGACTCCATCTCTGAGCCGAGTCGCACGGCCTTGGCGATGATAGGATGCATGGGGTCGCCTTTGCACTTCTCTACCTGCTTGGTTACAGCCAGCATGTATTTCTTGAGCGCGATGGGGTTGCTGCCGACCTTTCTGAGGCCGTACATCGCTTGGTACTCGCAGGCTGTCTTCGCTGCGGCACGGTGCGTGCTCAGCGCTGTGTCGTAGGTGGCGTTGCTCGGAATCTTTGTGTTGAAAGCGTTCTCCAAATCCTCCAGGGCCTTCAGCGTGTCGTACTTACTAGTGACCTGCTGGATGAACGGGTCGTAACTGAGCTTGAAGAGGCTCTTATCGGCACGCTCCAACAGCGCTTCGACGGTCGTGTCGGAGGCAGGGGCCCACTCGCCATCCAGGGCACCGCCTTTCAGCTTCGACAGCGGCACCTCCTCGGACTCAGCAGTGAACCGCTCCAACGCCGCGTTGGTCTTGGCCTTGAAGATGTTGTTCTTGAGCGCGATGATCTCGTCGTCGAAGCCGTCCATGAAGGTGTCCTTGATGAGCTCCGTCTCGTCGCTCTTGTCCTCGCGGGTATGCGATGCCACAATATTCATCAAACCCAAAAACGACTGGACAGTGTGATCTGGCACGTCCGACAACTTGCCCATGCCCCCCTGCAACTCGTAGCCCTTGGCTTCGCAGAAGCAGCGCGCAAGGGAGTGGTGCGTCTTTGTTCTGTCCAAGAGCTCCTGGGTGGACTTCCACATGCACCTGCAGCCCAAGACGTCAGCCAGGTTCACCCACGAAGCCGTCGCACTGATCACCTTGTGGGAGGGCTCCCAGAGCTCGTCAACCACCACTTCAGGCCACCCGCCCTTTTCTGCAAGCACCTTGGCAACCGCCTGGCCCACGAAGTCCCTGAACCGAATGATCTGAGGCTCGTCCGCGAAGCTGCGAAGACCTTCGATCTTGGAGAAGTTGTCGACGACGTAGTTCAAGCTCTCCTTGTTGAAAACAGTGATGTGGTTGAAGAAGTCTTGCACGCGGCCGCGGCTGTTGTGGTCCGACTTGGCGGCGTCGATCTTGGCCAGCAGCTCGGGCAACTTCCCCACCTCCCCGAAGTTCTTGACGGCCTCCTTCGCGAGGGCCTCGTACTTATCTCGCGCCCCGCCCAGCTCGGTGTCCGTTGCGATCCTGGTTGCCGCGTCGCCCGCGCACTTGCAGACTGCGGCCGTGAGCTTCTTAGAGTGGTCAGACGCGTGCCGCGGCGGCACGCTTTGCCCAATCTTGGCGAGGTCTCCGGCGCACTTGAGCAGGGATTCTGGCTCGCACGTCTCCGAGTTGCTGAACTCCTTCCCGCGCGACTCGATCAGGGGGGCCCACTCCTTCAACCCAGGCGAGTACTTCATGAAAGTCAGCATGCTCTCGTTCCAATACGGGCAAGCTTTCACAATAGCAAGCAGGGAGCCATTGAGCGCGGTGGATTTCGCCTTCGTGAACTGGTCCATCTTCACCAACCCGACTGTGTCGTTAACGCTCCCCGCGATGGTGTTGAGGACCTTCAAAGCCGTCATGACCTCGTTAGCCGCGCTGTCTAAAGACTCATCGAGGTCCATCGGCATGTTCTTGATGGCGGTGAGGCCAGACTTGATCAGCTCGGTCGCGGCAGCCGCGCAGCCCTTGCCACCCTTGAGGAAGGAGCCCATGACGACCTTGATGAACGCGTCCTTGAATATACTCCCCTTCTCGTGCGGGCTGCACGCCATCTGCGAGAGCCTAGGCTCCACGCGCGAGAACTTGACGGGCGAATCCACGTCGCCGATGTCGCCGCCCCATGGCAGACACAAAGCCACCACGTTGTCCAGCTTCGAAGCGAAGTTGGGGTCGTTCTTCCAGTCGGAGATTGCGCGGTCCCAGAGGGCCCGCTGGAAGATCAGCGGGATCTTGACGCCCTCCTTGTGTAGATTGAACGCGAGCTCGTTGAGGTCCTCGCGGCTCATGGTGGGGGCCGCCTTCGCCTTCTGGCCCCCCGCCAGCTTGGCCTGCTCGCCCATCAGAAGCCAATGGCTTGCAGCGTCGTAGTCAGGCTCGTCTGGGCCGCACCTTTTGATGTAGCCCCTGAGATTGCGCAGCTTGTGGCCCAACTTCTTGCCAGACAAGAGCTTATGGATCTTGCACGACTTCATCAAAGATCTGCGGATCGGCAAGACAAAGGTTAGGCGGGCTGACCGCGACGACCCCTGGACCCCCCCCCCCCCCCCCTCAACCCAGATGCGCGCCTTCGAGAGCACGGAACCCTCTCCGACGCTCTCGAAGAAGCAAACCACCCATTCATCCACCAGCGCTTCCTCCACATATTGAGAACTAGACAGTGGCCCGTCCCAAAGGGGCGGTGGTGGCGATTGATTACGGCATCGCTGAGGGCGACGGCGGCAACGCAACTACGTTTCGAGCGCAGGCCCCAGGGCCCACGACCGATAGTTCCCCTTGCGATGAGTAAGTGGAAGCGCCCATCACCCAATGTAAGAACTCCCATAGGCACGCGGAGTGGACAAGAGAACCCACGGACCCCAACACTTCGAAACCGTATTGCAGCCGCCAAACCTGAGCTTGCTCATGCCTTCATCGTCGGACGGCTCCTCCTCGGACGAACCCTCGAAACCGCTGGCGCAGGTGCTGGCCCCAACATTGGCCCCGACAATCAAGCCGGCGCGTGGCGACATCCGAGGGGCGTGGCCCTCGGGAGAGGGACTGAGCAGGAGCTCCTCCCCCTGCAACCCTTCAAGCCGCTGCGCCGCTGGCGTCTCGAATGCGGCCGATGGCACTGGCGAGTCGACGCTCTCGACGGCGGCCGCCACCCTCCCCTCCTTGATGGCCTGGTTGACGTGTTTGATCTCTTCCTGCCGATTGTACTCTGCGACTTTCGCCTGGACGTCCTTGTGCGTGGGCGCGTCGAGGAAAGCGGACGACTCTGCGGGCCGCGCGTCAACGAGCGACTGCAAATACGCTTCGCCCTGGCCTTCCCACATCTTCTGGTCGGGCTGCATCAATTCGGACTCGAGGCCCAGACACCTGCGACGGACTATGTTGACGACCGTGTGGGGCTGATCGGGGTTCACAATGATGTACCTCGCGCGCGTGGCGCCCTTCATGTCGGTGATGCTGCCAGTCCTGATCTTCGCCAGGTGGAGGTCCAGCCCGAACTCGGCCTTCGCCTCGTTGAACGTGTAGGCCTTGTAGCTCTCGATCGTGTCCTCGTACACCAGGGTCTGATCCATCAGCTGCTGCGGGGCTGACGTCGGCAACGTGCCGCCCTTCTCCTTGTGCTTCAACGCGTGCGCGTTATCGAAGCCCGCGCCGACCTTGTCGTCGGAATGGTAGCGCTCGCACAGGCCGGCCCAGCTCCAGAACAGAAACGCCCCCTGGTGCACCTCTTTGCACTTCAGGCACTGCGTGGCGGTAATCATGGTCGTGTGCTTGGCCGTCTTGCCGCAGATGCCGCAACTGCAAGCGGCCTTCTTGCCCGCGGAGCTCGGCCCAAGAGGCGTTGATGCAGCCGCGTCAGAAGACGCCGTCATGCCCTTGGCCTTTTTTGTCGGCGGTGGAGCGGCCGCGGACGAACTGGCCTCGGTCGCCTGCCTCTCGTCGCGGCCCAAGGGGTCACGGGCGGCCGAGGCGGCGTCAGATTTTGCTTTTGCTCGTTTGGCCATCTGAGAATGGTGCTGCGCCCCTGGAATTGGAACGTGTCTGAGTCAATGCATTCAAGCCTTGATTGAGCCAAAATGGCTACAGGGGGATGTAAGGACACGCGGGGGATCGATGAGCCACCGTGCTACATGTAACACGGGAAGAATCATATCCTCGGCCTCGAAAGCATCTCGCCGCCGCGGCTGGATACTGGAACCAGGGCGCAAGTTCCCCGTCGCCGCGGCTGGGCTAACCTCGAAGAGCTCATCGTCACCACGTCTGGTTTCCGACGCCCTGCGAGGAGGGGGAGGATGAGGATGGCGAGGGGCATGAGGGGGAGGAGGACGAGGAGGCGGACGAGGAGGACGAGGCGAAGGATGCGAAAGATGAGGAGGCAGATGAGGATGATGACGAGGGCAACGGTGATTATGATGAGGGGATGTTGAGGAGGGGGGGGGTGATGAGGCAACGGAGGACGATGGGGATGCAGATGAGGAGGCGGCGGGGGCGGGACGGATGACGAGAGAGAGGATGGGATGGACGAGGCGATGGGGGAAAGCCACGCGGGCGAGGAGGAAGCCAGAGAGGACGAGGGCGCGGCGGAATCCAAAGGGAGCAAGACAACTGACTACATTTCAAGGGCCCCGACTGCCCCGCAGCAGGGCATCGATTAGCTCGGCGTTTCTTTCCTGGAGGTGCGAGGCGCGGTGAAGGGGGCGTAGCTCAGTGCAAGGTTCGACCCCGACAGGGGGGCCAGGGAAGAGCGGGGCGGGCTGCGTGGGGGGGGGGGGGGGGGGGGGACGAAATAGTGGAGAAGAGGACGTGTTTTCCTACCTAACCCGATGCTGGCCCCGAGGCTGGCCACCAACCTGGCTTCGAGACTGGCCTCCGATGGCCCTGCGGGCCTGCGGGCGTCGAGCGCGCGGTGGCGGCCCTGCGGGCCGCGGGCAAGCGTGCAGAGCGTCTGGCTGCGCCCCTCCTCCGCCCCCCGTTCCTTCCCACCCTGCCCCCGCCCCCCCTTATCGAAGTTGCGCGCCCCCCCCTCGTCGCCCTCCTCATCCCCGTAATGCTGTAATGCCCGCGCCTTCCCTCCCCGCCCCCACCCCCCGCCCCCCTTCGCCCGCCCCCCCCCCCCCTCTCCGCCCTCCCCCCCCCCCTCCCCCCTTGTCTCTGCAACCTCCACATGCCCTCCCCCACCCACCCACCCCACCCACCCACCCCGCGCAATGCTCCCCATTTTTCACATTGCCTCCTCCACCTCCTGGCCTCCCTGGCCCCGCCTCCTCGCCATCATACTTCGGGCCCGTCGGGGCCCCTACATTGC